TGATTTACTGATAACAAATATCTATAAAAGCTAATAGGTTTTTTAGTTTTAAAGGGTTTAACAAATTGTTCTAGTATCTCATGTGTCTCAGAAGCTGAAAATGCTGCTGGTCCAAACAATGCCATTGGGTTATATCTGGTAGATGATATTTATCTCTTAACACAGCATATGTTAAAAATTCATCTTCATCATCTATCAGTTGGTCCAAAGCCAATATCCCCGCTTATATCCAATTTTTCCATATCACCATCTTTTCCCCAATTTTTAATGTTGGGTTTCTCCATAGAGTCAATTTAGCATGGGAATAGTAGTGACATTCTTAACAAGATCTGGAAAATAGTCATTACTAAATTATATTAAAGTGTTTTCTTTTGAAGAAAAGGCACAGCCATTTACATACTACTGTCTCACTTGGAATTTTTTTTCTGGGCCCCCTCCAATCCCATATCCATTTCACAGATGTGTAAGGATATTGTGCCTATAAGAATACCCCTTCTCAGGTTAAAAGGCACTTATTTTGTCTGAATTTCTCCTCTCTTCTAATTCTCCCTGACAATAGTCTTCTTTCTCTGCCTAGCAACTCTGTTCAGCTCTTCCTTTAGGATTCTTCTTATACTGTACTTGTATCTTTTGCTTTACAAAACTTTAAGAATGGTTTACATTTTTGGTTTTTAAGAACTTCTGTCAAGGTATGTACACTGAAATTACAACTTCAGTTTATTTACATTTTTTTTTTACTCACAATCACATGGTGCAAAATTATAATACTCTAATAGGGATGGAATTTGTTTTATCAGTTAAATATTTTTCTAAACTTATTGAGTGTGTTCTTAAGGTACTTTGCTAGTACCTATCATAACAATGCCAACATCAGTTTTTTCTGGACAGTTTCAATAATGTCCAGGAGGCAATAACTTATCTAGTGTTGATAATACTTGATGTATCTTAGACGAATAAACTGAATTTAAATATACTACTGTTAGAAATAGCAATACTTAAATTGAGTAGTTAGATTAAAACTAATTATTTTTAAAAAGGATGTTTTGTTGGGGGAACTTTATACCATATATGA